TAATAATAATAATAATAATAATAATAATAATAATAATAATAATAATAATAATAATAATAATAATAATAATAATAATAATATAATAATAATAATAATAATAATAATAATAATAATAATAATAATAATAATAATAATAATAATAATAATAATAATAATAATAATAATAATAATAATAATAATAATAATAATAATAATAATAATAATAATAATAATAATAATAATAATAATAATAATAATAATAATAATAATAATAATAATAATAATAATAATAATAATAATAATAATAATAATAATATAATAATAATAATAATAATAATAATAATAATAATAATAATAATAATAATAATAATAATTAATAATAATAATAATAATAATAATAATGATAATAATAATAATAATAATAATAATAATAATAATAATAATAATAGTAATAATAATAATAATAATAATAATAATAATAATAATAATAATAATAATAATAATTATCAAAAAAGCGATATATTGCTTAAGCCAGCTAATTATGTTCAGGTATGTTTTATCTACGAGTATTAGAAACTGGGGCATGATAGATATCATGCACTAGCCCTATACTCCTTCCAGGAGTGAGGAAGGAAAAAAAAAGGAAATGCTTTATTATTTATATCTTTTTTGTTTAATTATCGATTAAAAAATATATTATAGATGGTAATGGCCAGAGGCCTCTTTGAAAATTGGAAGCAGCCATTATATTATAGCTACGATCAACCGATAACACAAAATATATTGAATAAACTCATACAAAAATTACATTAAATTGGCCATGACGTCGTAGGTGATTTAGGCGCTTCAAATCAAAAGCTATGGAATACATTAGAAGTTACCGTTGAAAAACCATTTTTTGTGAATCCTTGCGATGCTAAAAGCAAGATTTATGTTTTTAGTGATGTGCCCCATCTAATTAAACTTTTTAGAAATCATTTCTTGGATTCAGGAATATTTTTTGAAGAAAAACTAATAACAAAGGAGCCACTAGTGGAGTTGTTAGAAAATATGTCCTTATTTGATTTAAAAATAAGCCGTATAACATCCACCCATTTGACGGTAAAAGAAGCCGAAAGACAAAAAGTAAAATTTGCTACACAACTTTTTTCCCACACCAATTCTTGTGCTTTAAAAAGAATGGGAGCTTTAGGCATTGCAAAATCTCAATATTGGCTTGAATTATCAATAATTCTTAAAACAGTAAGTTATTTTTCAGCAAGTTTTAAAAAAGTGATTAATTAGTTTTTTTTATTTAAGGTTAACGATTGGTTTGATTTATTCAATTCTAAAGTACCTAAAATTGATTCCCGGCCACGAATGGCTGCTTATGGTTTAGCTGCAGAGGAACATGAAAAAATATTAACAGACATCAATAACTTAGTTCAAAATATGCGAATCGGAAATAGAAAAGAATTATTACCATTCCAAAAAGCTATTTTAAAAAATAATGTTGCATTACAAATGATGTATAAGGATTTAGAAGCAAAATACAACACAAAATATTTGCTAACGTATAGGCTAAATCAAGATCCATTAGAACTTTTTTTTGGAATTATGAGAGCAAAAGGAGGACTATATGATCATCCTTCCGCATTACAATTTAAGTATCGTCTTAGAAACTATTTGCTGGGCCGAAATGAATCAATCATATCTCAATCTGCAAATGTAGAAGAAGATCGGGAAGCAGCTTTTAAAATGAATGTTGATGAAGGGTATTCAATTCCGAATAGTAACAACGAAGAAATTGAAATCGATGATTGTGAAAATCTCTTAGCAAATAGGATGCTTTCAGATTTAACAGAGCCTACTGTAAATGATACAATTGAAGAATTGAATGATTTAGAATTTGATGGACTCGAACATATTGGAGGATATATTATTCGATCGCTCAAAAAAAATATTCCAAATTTAATAGAAAACTATTGTGAACAAAACCCAACTACCAGTTTCACTTGGACTGATATGATATCCGAAGGAATGTTACACAAACCTAACGAAAACTTTATGGAGAAATTACAGAAACTTAACCAAATATTCGTAAACTATAATTCTAAATTATCAAGGGTCAACCTTAATTATCTAAATAATCTATTGACGCTGGCAAATGATGTAGAATTAGATTCAAATATAAAAAAGAAATTTTTCCGCTGCAAAATATTTTTTAAAATACGAATAGATAATTCTGAAATATCAGCAAACAGTCGAAAAAGAAAAAGAAAAGTAAATAAAATTTTAACATAATGTTAGTTTATTTTCAAAAGTTTTAAATAAAAAATACTAAAAAATTATAATTTAAAAGTTAAAAAATATGTTTAATATTATTGACAATGAATAAGAATTAAAATTTCAAAAAAACTAAAATAGCTTCATCTTTTATTTTTTCAAAAACAAAATAGGTCTTTTATGAGAAACTCATATTTTCCTATTAAACAATGTAATTGTACATAACCTAAAAAAATTTCTACCATGCAGATGACGTATGTAGATGTGCAGAAAATACAAAAATTGAAACTTTTATTTATTTTATTTTTATTTTATTTATGTTTAGCTCAAACATTTTACAATTTACAAATTACATTATACAATTTAACCTATATGATAATTTTTATTGTTATTATTAAACTTTAACTTAAAATTAATACTACTTAAAAATACCTGAACAAAAGTTGCCTAGCTAGCAAAAAGTTCAACTTAAAAAAAATTTTTTAAATTATGAAAACATTTACAACAAAAGATTGCAAAGTCAGCAAAAGTTAGTTGTTATTAATGTAGGTCAGAAAATTATTAAATTTATTTTTCGAGTACAATAAATATTATGTATGATAATAATTAAAAGTTAGTGACCTCATAAAGTGTACAACTAATGTAATTTTGCAAAGAGGGTATTCTTAAGTTGAGTCTTCGTTAGCGATAACTCCTCACGAGAAATGTATTTATTAACAGCAACTAACATTCGAGAAATAGGTTCATTCTTCCCATAATTTGTGCGGTGAAAAGGAAGATTAAAAATTTTGTTATTACGAAAACGAGTGACACTATTTAATTCAGCTTCTATGACATTTTTAGCATATGTAAAGTTTATGCGGCTCATAAACACTTGCACAATAAACAAAATATCAGCAACAATTCTTCTACTTTCAAGTGTTTTCATTTGAAGTAATAATAACCGATCTCCGTATGGTGGGAGAATAATAGGGTTTTCCCAATGAAAATTACGAAGAGCATACCTTAAAAAGTTTTTTTGAACTGCCTCCAATCTATTGACGTGGTCCCGGTAAGAAGGAGACCAAACCTGACTTGCATATTCAAGATGTGGTCGTACCAAAGCCACAAACAAAGTTTTTATAACGTAGGGATCATTAAACTCCTTTGTATAACGCTTAACGAAGCCTAAGACTGAATTAGCTTTACTAATCACGGCGTTATAGTGCTGTCTAAACGTCAACTTTTCATCAAATACAACACCCAAATCTTTAATAGAACTAACCCTGTTAAGATTAGCTTTATTCAAGACATAGTTGGAAGTTATAGTTACGGAACGACGAGTGTAACTAACTACGGAGCACTTAGAGATGTTAAGGGAAAGATTGTTAAAGTTGCACCAATTAGCAAAAGAATCCAGGTCCCGCTGTACGAGCAAGGTATCAGTAGCGGAGTCTATTCTTCTGTAAATTTTCATATCATCAGCATAGATACTTAAATCACTGTGTTTTAATACGCGTGTTACTTCATTAATACTAATAATGAAAAGAAGAGGCCCCAAATGACTACCCTGAGGTACACCCGAATTTGCAACAAAGTAATTGGAGATACATGAACGAAAAATAACTCCATATTTCCTACTACACAAATAAGAACCAATCCATTTAATGAAAAAAGGAGGAAAACCATACTTTTCTAGCTTAAAAAGTACTACATTATGTGGTAGTAAATCAAAAGCCTTGCTCAGATCAGTATAAATTACATCCGTCTGGGATCCAGCCTCCATCGCATTTAAAAATTTAGAACTACATTCAACAAGATTAGTAACTGTAGATTTCATTTTTAAAAACCCATGTTCTTTAAACTCTGAATATACTACCATGTTTTCTTTATACCATGCACGTACCATGCAATACAAACTTTTATAGGGTAATGCGTATAGAATACGATTTCTATGCAAAAAGTCGCAGGTTCAAATATTGAAAAATGATATTTGCCAGATGAACTTTTTTTTTCTGATAATTTTATTATTTTAAAATGAAATTAAAAAAGCTTCACCCTTACAAATCAATATCAGCGAGTTTCCGTTCTAAATATTTTTTTGAAAATACCTTATTTGTAAACAGTTTAATGCAATAGAATTACATTTTCTTATAAAATTTGGTCCTAAAAATATATTTTCAAGAAATTTAATGTACACTCATGTTTTGCTTACTAATACATTTTGCAGCAGATCGCGAAAAGAATACATAATTAAATGCGTACGTACATACATATTATAAAACAATGTAGATTTTATTAAAACTTTACAATTTTCTTAAGAAAGTGATTACTTTTTGTTATAACTCACACTTCCAAGTTATAACACCAAAAGTAAATAAAAAATTACCCCTGCAGGATGCAGTACTTGTTGTAAAAAACGGTCATAAAGCATCTTGGAGGAGGTGAACCGGGAGGGTGGGTGGAATTAATGCTTTTTCCTAGAGGCAAAACCCTATGTAATGCCTTTTGTCCCATGTCTCTAACCCTTCTAGAAGTACCCGTAATTTTTGGCACCTGAGTAGCTATATATGTATATAAATGTAAAATAGGATGGTTTTTGGAGAATTATACGATGTATGAATTAAATATAGAATTATAAAGGGAAATTCAAGGTACTGCGTGTCTGGTGGGTAGCGTGGTAGTCTGATAACCAGAAGGTTATTGGATCCATGTTTGTCTGGACGTTGTCGTATTTTTCTTTTTTTGGATTAATTTAAGAATTGTTTTTTTTATTGTTTAAATTTTTTGTTTTATTTTTTTTAATATATGTATAACAGATAAATATTATTATAAAGTTAAAAGAAATATTCCAAAAAAAAAATTGTTATAATAGTTTTCAAAAATTCGTAAAAATTTTAGATACATAAAAATGTGCGTATATTTTTTTAAAGCTTCCTAACTAATTTTTTTTATTATCTATTAATAAGTAATTCGACGGAGAGTCGAATTACTTATTAATAGATATACTTTGATGAAAAGGCTTACCATCTACTTCAGCAAGCAATAACCATCATATTAACCAATATTCGCTAAAAATTATACCTACATAAAGATATAAATAATTCAATGAGAGAGTGTAAGCGAGATAGAAACAAAGATGTTCCTACCTTTAGTATTTCTAATTTGTGGACCCATAGTACCACACCAGTTTCAATTCGCACTATAAAAATTTTAGTACAAATAAATCGATTTTTTTTCAAAAAGTCATTTATTGATTTATGAAAAGTTTTATTTGATACAGTGTAATCAAATAGAAAATAAATAGGGTCCTTCTAAATTCAAACTCGAATTCTATTTCTTAAAAACTTATTTATATGACAGAAATTATTCTACGTTGTAGAAATTTTAAAAAGCATTCCTTGCAACTTTGCTAATTGGAAAACGCTGAAATCCTTGAAATATTGCTTTTCCTAAAAGAATAAATTTTGAAATCCACCATATCTTCACATAATAACGTTTTTGTTTGGCTTAAAAAAAGATTAATTTAGAAAAGTGATTTGATTTGACAAAATGATTTGATTAGATAACGTTAATACCACTAACTATATTAACTGGACGATTCTTATATCTTTTAGATATATCACTTTCGATTTGCGACTGTAATAACTTAGTTTTAGCAATTGTATTAGTTAGCAAGGGCTTTAACTGATCTTTCTCTTTCTTTAATTCAACTGATTTAGCTTTCAATAATCCTTGCGCAGTTTTTATTTTTTCAACAGCAATGAGCTTTTGTTTGAATTTTCCTACTAAAATATTAGTGTATTTGGGAGAATGCTTAAGCTGAAACAGATGTTGCGCTTGTTCACTTTGAACATTTGCTATAATTTGCTCTAATTGTTTCTGTTGTTTTTGAACGCTTATCAGATCATGGGAAGACATGTTACCCATTAATGAAAATATTACATTGTTGCCAATATCATGTTGACTAATTTCATATTCTCGTAACTTTAGGAAGGACTCTAATTCATATAGTTCATCAATAAATTTTTCTCGGTAGTATGGAGAATCCATTATTGAATATGCTTGATCACCAGTTGCCCATTTAAATTCCTTTACTACAATTGAAAAAGTTAATTTAAAATAATTTATTATGATACAACTTGCTTTTTGTAACTTCCTTATTGTTTTCTGGTAATTTATTTTCAGCTCCTTTTGCTGATGTAACCCCTGTTGGTTCAAAACGAATAATGCTTGTAAATTCAAATGGCGAATCCATTGGTACTGTTTCTTTTTCAATATTTAGAGTTTTCCCAAAATTTCTACTCGGATAATCAATTTCATATAGATTTGAATCAATGCTTAAATTTACATAATTCTTTTCTATCTTTAAAGGAACTTCCTTATTTAAATACTGATAGACCGTGGTATTGCCAAATTCAGCAACATGCTTAAGAAGCGGTATCGAGTTGCAATTTCCTGATAATTCTATATACACACCAACAGTTTCTATTATATTTTTTAAATCAGAAACAGATTTTTCATAAATTTTTGGCAATTCTTTGATTTTTTCATTCAACTCATTTTTTAGATCTTCTCCTTTGATGCCGAGTTGGAGGCATAAGAGACCACGTTCACTCAGAAGAGTCTGCTTAGTTTTGTCAAAATCATAAATTTTTTTTAAACATTCTTCACTTCGTTGTTCCAACTTGGCTATTTGCTTTTTCATGTTCGGGATTTCGTAGTTTAAATTTCGTACAAAAATTTGTGCAGCTTCTCCGATGTAAATATTTTGTTTTTCGTATAATTTCAAAATTTCTAACCAATCCTTCATGCGCTGACTTCCGTAGGTTCCAAAAACACTTTTCGTGTCTTTTTCAGTTTGTTTTAAAATCTCTATTATTTCTTTACAATGAAAATAATTAACATCTATAAAATTCATGCATTAATATTAATACGAAATACGTGTATATTAATGCTTACAGTTCCCAGATAACAGTTTTACAAGTCCGTCGTTACATGGCATATCATTCAGGGCATTACTTATTTTTGCACGAATATCTTCAACATAAGGTTGAATATTTTTGGGTACTATTCTCCTACTTATCAACCATTCTTGCAATTTGCTAGAATGAATGTCAATTGAAATTTCATATTCCTGAAAGTATATTTAATAATATATTTCACTACATTTTAAATTATACCAAAATAATCAACAAGTTTTGTACTTACATTCATTGTTTCAATCAACAAATATTTAATGCTTACTGAATTGGCTGCCTACGTGGAACCAAGTTAGGACTACAGTATGCAACTGTCGATAAATTTTTCAAGGTAACTTGATAGTTATTATTTCGATATATAAAGAAATGTGGATGAATTTGCGCAAATTTCTGACAGCTATTTTTCTTGTTTCATGAAATATATGTATCAAAATTTTTCTATAATCTAAAATAATGTCTTTATATATAACAGGTCTCAATATTCAACTTTTTTTACGAAATATTACAAATTTTTGGCTTCGTTCCGGTTTTTTTCTTTAAATGCCACTGATCGTTTCATATTTCTTATTATTATTTTTTTTTTTTTTATGTAAAAAAGAGTTTAATATTTTAAAAAATCTCAGGATATTATACCCTTTTTTTCAAAAGCTTCCCATTTAAATTCTATTGCACGAAAAAGAAAGAAAGATAGGAGGAAAGAAAAAATTATAAAAAATTTGAAATTCATATTTCAGTATGGTTTCAAATGTTAATGAGGAAGGATGTATGATTTTTCATGCACATTTTGTATTTTCCAATAAGGTAAGTTGAGTAGTGTCGGCTAACAAAAATGTTAATAAAAGTAATATAGGTTGACACACTTCAACAATTTGAATTATCTCATTTCTGTTATTTATACGTTACTTATAAAATTGTTTCAAATAATTTCAGTTAGTTTTTAAGTTATTAAAAATAAATATGTATGTATCTACTTCAAATCAATTTTTTTTTTAAATAATTATTTCTTTAATAATTAACTATTTCAAACATGTTATATTGAGTGTTTCAAAAATTTTGTTGTGTTTTTCTTTCATATTTTATTAGCAGGTAAACAAGAGCAATCTATTTATAAAATGGCCCTGCCTGTGTATGAATCTTAATAGTAAACGCAAACGGATAAAAATTTACATCAGTACCTACTACCTTTCATTTTACAATCGAAGTTTTTGAGTCATTTGCTAAGATAATATTTATTTCAAAAATAAAAAAGATATTCGAATCTGGTCATTAAAATATATTATTGTCTTTTCCAAAACCTTTTAAATATTTTTTTACTTAGGTAATATATTAGGCTTAAAAATTTTTCTCTCAAATAGAGGTAATATTTTGAAGTGTATATAAAATTTGTATTTAAAAAATAATATTTGATTGTAGTTTAAATATTATTTTCTAAATCGCTCTTCAAATTTTTTCTTTACTACGTATTTATATCAATATTTAATAATTATTTTTCATTAATTATATTTTCAACTTGACACCACAGTTACTTCCCATATCTTGAATTAACTTACCCTATGAGAAAAAAAAACTGTTCACTTAAAAATAATGAAATGCTTTCAGTAACATATAAAACATTGAAGGCGAAGGTTGTGCTTGTTGTTTTTCCGCTGTTTCAAGAATTTTAAAATAATTCTGAATGAAAATATTAATATATTTTCTTGATTTTTCAAATATATTTTTAGAATTTTACCTGCTTTATAATAAGTGTGAATTATAATATTTCTTCTCAAAAAATAGTCACTTCGATTTAAAAAAAACCATATAAAATTAGGTCGTGCTTTCAAGTTTCTCTTTGAGCATTGGGACTTGTTAGATATAAAGACATTATCTAAAATATACTCAATCTAAACTTTAGTGCACAATTCGAATAGGTCTGTCGCGTATTAAGAAGTTTTAAAAACCTTTGTAAAACTTGACGCAGCCAATTAGAAATACTAAAGAAAATGGCATCTTGAAAAAACAATGAAGGCAAATGTTTTTCTGCCAAATTGTCTCTCTCTTTGCTCCGAATATTTTCAAAGTCGTAACAGAAGTGTATTTATTTTGTTTTCTTGTCAGGCCTCTACTATAAAATATGTATAATTTGTAAGAAGGATAAGTTAAATTTTTTTTTAAATACAAACTGGGAGAAAAAGGTGCACTGGGTCTTAATCAGTTCACATTCCTAACGTGTGATACTGGAGTAGTTTGGAAATATCATCTTAGTTAATCATAAGCTCTGCCAGCAAATCCTACTCTTATCTTCCAGAAGGTAAGTAACATAGTTGTCTGTCCGGTTTCTCCTGGTAACACACTTCGGTGTCGCTGACGAGAGCGTGTGTATACGAGTACCTGGCGCATTAATTGAGTATCCGTCACACTGAGAAACGGCAGTTTTTAAATCCTGGCAGGAGGTATAAAATGCAGATTCATCGCAATGCAATAGCAGAAACAAAAGGATTAAATCTCCCAGGTGGTAATCCAAGTACATTGAAGAATCCACCATCTTCGGAGCTCAGCTCTACGTATTCTAAGGAGAGCCATTTATAGTATCTAATCGACCCGTTCAGGAGGAACGCAAAGATTCGTCGTTCGCCTCCTTCAACTGTGGAAAAATCAGACATTAAACACCAAAGACTCGAGTATAACCAAAGCTCAAGATAAAGGAAATGTAGATCAAGGTGTTGATATAAATAAATGAAACCAGAATTGGAGTCTCTCTGCTTGGCCTTAAAAAGTTAGGTTTTCGAGTTAAGGGCGGAAAACAAGAAACTCAAAATGGAAAGGTATAGAGCACTATGTCAAAAGATAGTACACCGAATGAAAATCCTGTTACATATTAAGAACAATACAGAATTACATACTCAACAGATGAGGAAGAACTCATGCGAGAAACTGTTTGGATTCTTAAATAAAAGAGGTCTAGCAAAAAGAGAAAGGCAGACTCATCACTGGAAGTACGATCAACGAAAATAAAGGAAAAACAACGAAAAGTGTGGAGGGTTCAGGTGTTTCTGATCCGAAAGCTGATAATAATACTGTCAGGAATTTGAAGTCACCCCCTGTAATCATAAGTGATGTGGTTGATTACAATCAAAAAGAAGCCTTATAAATATAAAAATGTGAACTATAAAGTCAGGATGATGAATAATAAGCAACTAAGGCTCATTGTAGATACGAAGATGGATTACAGAAAGATATAAAAGTTGACTTACGATCTAGAAATTATAAAATTGTAGACGTAGTAAATACAGCTAAAAAGGTAAACGAAAATGGTAAGAATGTCATGGTTCCTTTGCTTACCTTCTCTAATGAGGAGAACATAAAGAGAATTTACGAAATAGAGTGTTAAACCGTATGGAAGTTAAGATTGAGGCAATGCGAAAGGAAGAAACTATTTCCCAGTGTAAAAGCTGTCAAAGGTTCGGACATACACAAAAATTTTGCCAAAGAGAACCGAACTGTGTGAAATATGCACCTTACTGCGGAGTGCATCAAACCAAGAAGCACAGCTGCAAAATATTCAAATTACCTGGAAGCACATCCAGCAAACTATAGGGGATGTTTTGTGGCTAAGGAGCTGCAGAAGCGGAGGCACCAAAACAACGATCAAAAGAAAGGCGCTAGCCTCATCCCGATGCGCTTCACTTCCAGTATATCATATAAGGATGCAAATAAAAAGGAATAATTTTTAGATGGAAATTTTTAGACTGGAAATATCGCAAATAAAAGGGAAGTATTTGAAGTTTTTTTGCACTTTGAAAGTATTGATGTAACCCTCGATTCTGAAATACATGTGACATCACGAACTAATTTTCAGATTTATAAAATTTATAGTACACCTCACCCCAGCAAAGTGAGAGACTGCGATCATAACTAAGGAAAGTATTACACATTGTGAACTGTACCAGATGCAGCCAGAAGAGATGCTAATGACTGCAGTTGAAATCACTTCAACTAAACAAAAGTTCAAAGTGGCTGCACCATACTGTTACGCAAAGTTCAAAATAACCAAAGAATCTTTTAAGAATATGCTAAGCCGACTTGATGACACACAAATATGGTAGGTGACTATCACGCCAAAAAACTTACTGGGGTTCTCAACAATTTTAACCCACCGATCCAAACAAATTTCCAGATTAAAATAGACTTTTTTATTACCAAGAAATTTGCAAAAAACTTCATTGACGTCTATGACAAATACGATCATAATTCCGATCATTGTGCAGTTATTTTAAAGTTATAAGAAAGTTTTGAAAAGAAAAAAGCAAAACCTACATTGTCAAATAAAGCAGTGGAATGGCCAAACTTTCGAGCAGAAATGGAAACGAAAATAAATTTAAGAATCAAAATAACTCCTACAAAACAGTTAGACAGAGAACCTTACAAAAATTATCCAGAATGCAGCTTGAAATAGTTCCAGAATTATTATCACCAAAATAGAAGGTGTGAATTATCCTCCGCATATATTTGCAGAAGAGCTAGAAAAAGAGGGCAACAAACGCGCGATCTTAATGATAAAACAAATTACAACCGCGCATCTCAACAACTTAAACGTAGTATTCAGAAACATAAACAGGATTCTATTTCCAGATACAATCAGAAATTTAACGGAATAAGAAAATAAAGCAGCCGACAAGCATCTTACGCTTATCAAAAATAAAAATGGAACTTGTGCAAAGAGTGACAAAGACAAGGCAAATACGTTTGCCGATCATTTGGCTGAAATATTTATGTCACATGCCAATCAAGATATGTTGGGGGTAAATGAAACTTACGAGTACTTCCAATCAAGATATGTTGGAAGTAAGTTTCATTGATCGAGAAGTAGCTATTCCAATTATCAGTGAAGCAGAAGTTGTTGCGGACAGCAGGTCTCTTTGATCTAAAAAAGCACCAGGATTTGACCTGATGACATCTAATATACTAAAGCAACAACGCAAAAAGGGAAATGCAATGCTTACTTGTCTCATGAATGGCTGTATAAACTTCACATACATGCCTGGAATTTTGAAAGTTGCAGAAATAATTATGCTACCAAAGCCTAGCAGACCATTAAACCAAGTAGCTTCTTACAGACCAATCTTGTTATTTCCGATATATTCAAAATTGTTCGAAAAATTATTGCTAAAAAAACTTTAACTAATAATTGCAAATAAAGATTTCATCCCGAATCATAAGTTCGGCTTTCGAAGAAACACTCGACAACAGATCAAATTTATCGAATTTCTGACATAATAGAGAATTCTCTTGAGAAAAAACAGATATGCTCTGCCATATTTTTGGACGAAGCCCAAGCTTTTGATAAGGTTTGGCACCATGGATTAATAAATAAACTTAAAGAATTACTGTCGA